GGAGGGTCAGCAAACTCGAGCATTCCAGCTGCACTACCTCAGGGAACGGCCGTGGTTGGCCTACACTGAGCTTCATGGAGGGGGTGCTTTGTGCAAGTTTTGTATCCTTTTCGCGAAGACCGAAAAAGTCCGGTCCAGGCAGACAGTGGACACCAGAGTCTCTCGTGAGCTCGCCTCTGAATAAATACAAGGAAGCTCGACAAGTTTTCGCAGAGCTCGAGAAAACTCGCTACCACCAGGAGGCAAAACTCGATGGTAGAAACATCGAAAGGTTTTGAAACGGAGATTCCACTGACGTCAGGAGCCTCGTTGACAAAGGGCGTCAACAACAAATTGCAAAGAACAGATCACGATTGATACCGATCATCAAAACGATCATTTTTTGCGGTAAGCAAGGGCTGGCTCTAAGTGGACACAGAGACGCGGGGATCGACGTTTCCGGCACCATCGACGAAACTGAACAGAACGACGGCAATTTCCGAGGGTTGTTGCGATTCCGAATGGACGCAGGTGACGAAAGTCTCAAAGAGCATTTTCTCGAATGTGGGAGAAATGCCGCCTATACGAGCGTGCGAATCCAGAATGAGGTGATAGACTCCATCGGTGTATTGACAGGGAAAAAGATCGTAGCTGAAGTGAACGCATCCAGGTTCTTCTCGGTGCTGGCTGACGAGACAACAGACATCAGTAAAATCGATCAGCTCACGATACGCTTCCGCTACGTTGCGTTGTTTGATGGACAACAGGTTCTGCGAGAAAACTTCCTCTCCTTTTCCGCTGTGACAGACGAGACTGGCGCCGGTTTGGCAGCGACAATCACCCGAGCCCTGCACGAAGAAGGGGTATTCGTCGCGAACATGAGAGGCCAAGGGTATGACGGGTGTAGCTCGATGAGAGGGAAGTACAAGAGTGTTCAAGCGGAGATTAAGAAAATTGTTTCGAAAGCCCTCTATTTCCACTGCGCCAGCCACTGTCTGAACCTGGCGTTGGCTCATTCGATCGACGACACGAGAATCAGACTGACGGTAGGCACTATCGCCAGCACCTGCTCTTTAATGAGCGCTTACCCTTGCCGGGTGAAGTTGCTTCAAGACACGGTCGAAGCCATGATGCCGGAGGTCAAAGCACGCCGCTTGAAGCCTCTTTGTGCAACACGTTGGGTGGAGCGCCATAAAGCGTTCATCTCATTCAAAGAACTTCTGAGTCCCACGTCAGATACTTACATCGTCAGAGACGATCGCGACCCAGGGGGGANACCCGTCGGCTCGCG